GCGTTTTTTTTAACTATATATGAAATGCTACTTACGTTACATTGAAATTTTTATTTATTCTTAGGTATATATATATATATAGAATTAAGTCACTTTACTTCAACGAAAAATTACTTCCCGCGTATGGAACAATGGGCTAGTTTCAATTTTGTTTCCCCCCCCCATGACTCAAGTTTTATTTTGCATTTTTCTGTTTATTACGTCGTTTTGCTATTTTAACTATGTATACTTGAGAGAATGTTACAGTTTTAGACAGTTTCTCATATTAAATATATCGCATATGTAAATATTAAATTCCTTAGCTTTACAATGCTTCATAATTAGTTTAAATGTTTGAAGGGAACGAAGCATTCCACTATCTCATCAGAGAAGCCATTGTGATAATTCTGGAAAAATTTAATTTGATGTTAGGCTTGTACACAAATTGGTCGAATAAAAATTTGCGCTATTAAGCTTGGCTAAATCTGCATGTGAACCAAATTGAATTTGCCTAGTTTTGTATACAGTATAAAAGTTTTCCTTGAATGGTAATTTGTATAAAAATAAAACATTCATATTTTATGTAGGATAACTCCAAGGCTAAATTATTATATATATGTTTATGAATGTCTTCTGAGCTTAAATAAGTAGAGTTACCCTGATGAAATGGCTTCGTAATTTCACCTCCGTCATTTATATACCTGTGATTTTGAAACAGCTGTTATAACTTTGTTAAACGAACAAATGACTTTTCATAAATATCACATGCTTGTTGTCTTTTGAAATAAAATGCCCCGATACTTCGTAAGCTAAGCGTTCAAATTAAGCTCCACCCTGTGGCCGAGTGGTTAAGACAGTTGAATACAGATATATTTAAATGCGTTCGAGCCCTCGCGAACGGGATGGTTTGTTTTCTTTGTTCTCCTCATATGTAACGCCAATATAAGCCAGTTTTTCTTAGAAAGTCTTCCACGAAAGCATTTCTTCCTTTAAGCAGATAGCTCTTGTGCCGCATTCGAATAACCGTTCCAGTAAAATTTTTACATGGTTTTTCTTCACATATAGCCGAACCTCCTATTAACGGACTCTTGATGAGAACAAGGCTTTTGTCTGCTATCAGGAAGTGTTCTCAAAATGGAAATGCATTTATCTCCTACTTCGACGCTCGGGAATTCAAAAAATGTCCGTGAATGAAAATCGTTTATTAAATTGGAGTATCTGTACTCGACTGTAGATGGATTTCCTGCGTCGCACATTTCATGCAACAATCCCTGCAAAAGATTTCTTATGAGCTCTACAAAATTCGTTCATCAATTATAAAGTTTTACTTATTTTTGCATAATAATATGCATTATAATGCTGTGATTCAGAACAAAAAGAGAGATTATCAATTATTCGTTATAAAATTGCGTGCATTTTATCACATTGAATTTACCGAGATTTTTCTTAAAATAACTTGGAAAAAAAAAAGCTTTAAAAAAAAAAACGGCGTTGGAGATATAGAATACGAGTACCTTGAAGGCATCTACAGAATTCTACCAAATTCCGAACGCTGTTGTATCTCAAATGTTTCTAATTTTATAATTTCAAAGTCGCAGCAATTTTAGCGAAATCCATTATACTGCGTCCCACTGGACTTTTCTAGTAGGACGTATATTTTTCCAGTGGAACGTAAACCCTCAATATGAAAGGGAAAAGGGCAATGCAGATTCTCTATACATTTTCATTATAATACAAGCAGACGGAGCACATATCCGGAATTATTTTATTATCACTTTATTCAAGTGATCGCTTTGCAGTATAGGATGTTGTTTAATAACATCAACACTTATGTTCGCACTGTAGTCGAATTATATATTATTCTGTCTTAAAAGTGATGTCTTCCAAATTCTTGCCTTCATGCTATATACACTGGGGAACTATAATGCTGTATATACTAATTTCTGCATAGCTGTCTTTGCCGTTTTTTCAGGTATTGCTGCGATTTCTTCCCGAATTGGATCTATAATTTTGTCAGTTAACCGTGGCCTATGTTTTCGAGTGTCCCCAGAGGAAGAAACAAACTGCATAGTATAGTGACCTTGGCAGCCGCAAATATCATCACTTTGTGTTATGAGGATTCTTGCATGGATCCTGTAAGGTGGTCACAACGCTTAACTACAGTTCTTCACTGACGATGATTGTCATAAAAAATTTCTGATATCGTTATATTGGGCTTTAATATTTCCTTCGAATTCTTATTTTTCATAAGTTTGGTTTTATAATTATTTTATGGTAATGTCCTTTTAGCGTGCATTAAAAAAAGTACTCCTTTTTTTATTTGTTGGCTAGTTAGTTTCTATTAAGGCGAAGCTCGTGAGGGCTTCGGAAGGAATGTGTTCATGAAGGGCATTCTAGGAGAAAATATTCGCGTTACAGATAGTGGAAAAACTGAAACCTCTTTCCCTAGGATTTAAAATACCAGTGTTACCAAGTCACTTGTGAGCCAAGAGGAATCCAGATCATTATTATAATCGTCCATGTCAGTAAATATAAAAACAACAAATGGACGAAGGTATAAAAGTCATTTAATAGTAATTCTTTTTACACGCGATTCCTGAATGTAGCGGATTAGCTATGTCGTGGGACTTAAGGTCGTGCTTCATCTTTCCACAATACAGATAATTAGTTGACAAAATTCTTAAGCGAGCCATCTTCTTCGTAAACTGATAATCCAAGATTCTCTGTCATACTTCGAAAGCAAGAAAATCCAAGTCTTCTGCAGCGGTGGCACGTTGAAAAGCATTTCTCTATCTCAGTATTGACTTTATTACTATGAAATACAGCTCGCTTGGTAACTTAACTTAAACTCTTGAATCTTTTTACCAAAATTTTAGAATTTTTCATGAAATAATATTTCTAAAGCTTATTAACATTTTGTGCTTATGCTAAAATAATAAGCAATAAAACTGTTTTATTAAAATGTAATCTGCGACTGTCTGAAGGAAAAGGTATTTTCTATTGATATTCCATCATGAAGAAAAAGATAGTACGTGTTAAATTAGTGCTTGTGATCCTTATGCATTAAGGATTTGTGGCACAGCCTTTTCTCTGTCTTTTCTCTCTGGCTCTGTCTCTCAAGCTTACCAGTAACTAAGAAGATAAAATCACTAAAGGCAAAGGTTTGAGGGCTCAACTAAAATCTCCGAAGGTTGAATGTGTTAAGTCCATGGGCTGTCTCTGTGTTTCTCAAGCGGAACGTGAATGCGAGACAGCTTAGAAAATCCTTCGTGCAGGCATGCACAAGAAGCAAATAATCCTCATTGTCTTTTTGCCGTGCTTTCAAACTATATAGCAGAAACATAAGTGAACCACAGGTAAAAGACATGAAAAACTGTATCACATATTAACAACGTATTGAAAATAAATAGCTCTCGCGTCCTGTGCCATAGTCGGTTAAACAAACCTGTTGAAAATACGCAATGAAATTAAAATTCCTTTGATTAATTAGTCCTTTATGACTCAAAATGATTTATGGAAAGGAAATCTTAGGCGCAAAACGAAATTTAACATGCATTCAAATTGTTAATTCGCTTTTTACTAAGTATTTTCATTATTTTAAATATTTATTATTTCATTATTAATATTTGTATATACTAAATCATTTTTAAGTTTCAGTATACAATATTACCATATTTTTTAAGTTAAAAATTCGCCGGAAAATAGTTATTCGATGTTTTAAAAAATTTATTTCAAAAATGCGAATTAATTGTTGCAATATAAAGTATACAGGTACAATATTTAATATGGATTAATATATGCAACTTTGGAATGTGTAAAAATTGATTGCGGGACTTCATCTGTATAATTGATGTAAAAGTGTTTCATGAAAATAATAAATATACTAATTTCTCATAAGAAGAAAAAAACAGAGCATGTGACATCCATACGCAAACTGATTTTCGTATTTCTCTGATATAGCAGCTCACCAGCGGCCGAGCGGTAAAGTTGCTGAACACTGGTAGTTCGGTTCGAGGTTCGAATCCCGCGAACGGGCTGGCTGCATGGGCGCTTTCGTTGTTTTCCCCATGTGTAACGTGTATACGAGCCAGTTCCCTTAGAAAGTCCTCCACGGAGGCATCCCTCCCCTTAGACAGATAGCCCTCGAGGCTTTGCCATAATCACACAAACGCAAACTTTGATATAGCATCTATACAAGGATTTTTTTTTTTTTTTTTTAATTTTAACTTTACTGAGAACTGGACTGAATTTTTGAAAGAGAACTTGTTGTTTTGCACACGATCTTTTAGGTATTTTCCAGTATAATATAGTGGCAATCAAATATGACCTTAACTGTTGAGTTTTTCGCACGATCCTTCATGTGACAAAGCAAAGGACTTTGAGTATTCCGACCGCCGATGTTATCTACAGTGCATTGAGACCTCGATCTGATCATTCTGGCTCATATGAGAACAATGTATGTAGTGCTTTGGTACTTGGACTCTTGACAGATATTTTTCTCCATATTGTCCGCGAAACCTATTCAAAATTTATAAACCCAATTATACCGTCTCCCATGGAAAACTTACATCGACAATTTGTTTCGTAGTGCGAGGCAGTTCTTACACAATTATCGTTCTGACAAGCGTCGTATGTGACTTATAAGTTTGAATTTGCTCTACACTTATTAGGTAACATATGACGATCCGAATATCCGCTTATCTAATGCGGCGAAAAGCTGCGCGTGTATAAAGCTAACATTCCGGACTATGTCAGAATGTTTTGGTAACTCGCAGAGATTGTAATTAGGTAAATAAAGTGGCCTCAGTGTAGCCTGCACTCCCTCCTTTCTGATTAGTATTAGTTGATGTCGCAAAGGTTCACATGTTTATCATTCCAGCATTCAATCTTCTTCAAGAATTAAGACTTTTGCGACAATTATTTGCCTTAACTAAATTGAAGTATAATTATATGCAACAATTAGAATGATTATTAATGAACAAAAATTTAGTCTCTAATGATAAATAATTTTATCTTTTTAGGTGTACTTAAGTTCTAGGCAAGGAACGTGGGTTGTTCAAAGACCAGGCTCAAAAGGACTTCCTGCAGATTTAAGTTTCAATCGAAGAATCGTCAGTACAGCATTCCAGAAACTGCCTCGGAAGTTGGTCTTTTGGTTTTTGGAAAAACAAGTTAACAAACGTTTCAATCATAATACTTATCACTTGAAACCTCCTCACAGATTTCTTACGAAACGCCCGACAATTAACGATCACCTTGCCAGTAAAATTTTAAGTGGCGATATCATTCTGAAAGGAGCAATTAAGTACTTTACAGAAAAAGGTGTTGTGTTTCGTGGCGACAACGAAATCGTAAATGTTGATATCGTGATCATGGCAACAGGCTACCAATTAAAAGTTCCTTTTCTGAACGATATAATTTTTCAAGTAATTGGAGATCATGTTCCGTTATATAAACATGTATTTCCACCGCATTTATCTGTGCCTTCAATGGCCATCATAGGCATGACGCAAGTCTTTGGTGGTGTATTTCCAGTATGTGAAATGCAAGCTAGGTGGTTCGCAGCCGTTTTGAACAACAAAGTTTCTTTCCCAGATAAAGGCGACATCATTAATGACATTACTTTGAATACAGAAAATGAAACCAAACTTCTTCATTCCAGTGCGAGGAACTGTATGCAGGTTTATGGTATTCCTTACATGGATGAGTTAGCTGAAATAATTGGCGTAAAACCGAATTTTCGCAAACTGTTGCTCAGAGACCCAAGGCTAACATGGACATGCGTAATGGGCCCATGTCTTCCATACCAGTATAGGTTGGAAGGGCCTCATTCCTGGGTAGGAGCTCGAGCAGCCATTCTTACTTACAAAGAAAGAGTTTTTGCTCCTTTAAGGACACGTTATGAAACTCGATAACATTACTGATCTTTCATGAGTTATAACAGGCAGACTGAAAAGGTTTAAGCTTTAGGTATGCTGAAGAGCTTTGGAGTTCAAAATGCTTAAGTCCTATATTCTTTTGCTCATATTTCGAAGAAACTGCTATACAGTTTGAAAGTTTTTTTTTTTTTTTTTTTTTTCCATGTGATATTTATATACAGCGCGCGCAGCTCTGTGGAATTATTTTTAAAACATTTTATTCTTATATTACCAATTCTGCTTTAAAAATTTAATTTTGCTTTATATTAGTGTAAATTCATGTTATGTATTTTATGTGATTATAATGCAAAGATTTGTTATATTTTTATATTACTTAAACTGAGGACTGCTGTCTGAACTAGCGTTTCATGAAATGGACCTAAAAACTGTTTTTCGTTATTCTCACGGTCACGTAATCTAAAATTCATCTTTCAACGCGAATATCTGCAGTCATATTGTGGGTACTATTACTGCCTGTGTTTTGCGGGTAGTTTAAGCTCAAAAATGTATCCATAAGACGTCCACTTCATGCAAATGCTTTTATATTTAAATTTTTAAATCTTCCAGGGTGTTGATTATTTCTGCAAAATAAAATTTCAATGCTTTGAATTTTGATGAACATTCTGGAAAATTTTTATCTAGAATGATGCAGTATTGATTTGTGCCTTTTTGAAAATATTTTTGATCAAATATTTGTAATGCATCCAGTTTTGTCGAAATGTTCGTAATACATATTCTTGATACAGTTTAATTTATATTTAATTATTTTCATAGTGTAACATTTTCTTAGCTTTCATTCGTGTTCCTTTAGTTTTATTTTTAATAATAGAATTTGAAATGTAGATTTCAAGTATCTGTGATTACTGTTGATATTTTCTGATACGTATTAAAATATTGAAAATAACTGAAGTAGTTAAATAATTTTTGATTAATACACACTTGAGTACTTACCTTATAAAATGTTTACCTGCATAAGACATTTTTTTTTTCTTTTTCGATTATGTTCAGTATGTGAACAATCTACTTTACAAATGATTAAAAGAATGGAATCTGTATTGTAAGTGGTTACCCAAATCGATGCATAAAAATTCCTTCTATACGCGCCCACATATGCAGTTTGATAAAATTACCATTTTAAAGTATTTGTGAAGTCATTCATATATTGACAAAGGGAAAGGTCTTCTCAGTAGAGATCGGTAATTTACTACAGCAAATCTTCTCTTGTGGATGTGTGTGACCTGGTTTTGTGACTTGAAGTTGAGCAACCGGACTAAATAGTCATATAAAAGTATTATAGATAAATAATCATTAATTAAATTATCACTTAATTAATGATAAATAATCATTAATTAAATTATCCTTTGAAGGTCAAAATAGATACTGAATTCTGGCAATCTGAATTTTTATTCGTTCATAGATATAATTGCCTCGAAGATTGTGCAATTATGTTTAATTTCGGAAGTATCAGTGGGTGTTGCAAAAATATCTCCAATATTTCCAAATTAAACTGATAACTGCTTAATGCAGTCTATTCTAATGGATGTTTTAAAACAGCTCTGTACAAACTGGTTAGTGTTCCTGCGCCGTTCATCTAACAAATCTCTTAAACTGAGAAGTTTTTGACTAACTGTTATCAAATATTTCTGTATTACGCAGATATTTTTCAACCATCCGCTCTAGGATTTTGTGTAAATCTTATTTTTCTGGCTTACTTATGTTAAATTTAAAATTCACCAGTATGCTTTATATTCATTAACTTTTACTACCAAAATTATTCGTTAAAATTTTTCAGATTCTGTAGTCTTTGAAAGTCAATTTCGTTAACCTGCATTTTTTAAGGTAAATAAATGCGTCGGTATTGCTTTGAGTGGCACTGTCATCAGTATATTTCTACTCATTATGTACCTCTTTTTAGATATTGGGAAGTCACTGATTATTAATTTTGATATTATTAAAGAGAATAGTTTACTTTAAAATGTATTCAATAATTTCCTTTAATCTCTTAAAATAATAATCATAGTTTTCAACCATTAGCTGATCCTTGCATGGTCGGTACTATCTGAAGTTCAGAAATACAATGGAACCTCGGATCACGAATGCCTCCCTTCATGAACAAATTTACCTGGCCAAAAAAAAACTCGGCGTACGATATCTCGATCTACGACACTCAGGTCTGCAACATATGATTTTTCAGAGATATTTGGAGGTAGCCAGTGCTACATAATTTAACACTCAGACCTGCTTATAATGTAAACAACATTATAATGTTTTCTATTGCTTAACTGTCATTAGCAAAGCCTGGGAGCAAATGATATGCAGTATCATGGCTTCGGCCTGGAGGAAATTGTGGCAAGACTGGGTGCAGGCAGAAACTTTGAGAATTTAGGCTTTTTCCTCTGTGCATGATATTGTGTCCCTAGGCAAAAGCATTGGCCAAGACGTTTAACAGTAAAGACTCCAAAATGTTACTAGAAAACCATAAAAATAAGCTCAACAAGCAAGAACTGCAACCTCTTCTCAGAAGCATCAACAAAAGACGATTGTGGAAGAATTGTCTCCAGGGGGAAAAAAAAAGAGAAAAAATCTGAAAGCTTTGATTTTATATTACGTCCAAAGGGACGGTTTTTTAACGTTTTGTGTGTTACCTTTATTTATTAAATATCATGTTCTTCGTACTTAAACTATAAAATTCAATTCAACAGCAATATCACAAAATATTTAAAAGAACATATCTGTAGAATTTCCGATACACAGTCTCGCGCGCTGGAGATTAAATTTTTTTCCCCCGTACAGTGTTGCCGTTGCTCGCTTTGAAATCGTTGATTTTCTTAATCAGAAACTCATAAATGCTTTACAAAATATGAAGCAGATAATAAAACAAATTCCAAATTTGGGCTTCCAGGGGCCCATATTCGGGTGGAAAAGTACGTTATTCAAAATTTGATGGCTATAGGTAACGTTGTTTTATCACAATGCAAGAAACATACGTACACACATACATTTATGCAGATTCTTCATTATTTAATTTCTTTAAATATAACACAGGGCAATAATATTTGGTGGCAACAATTTGAAAAGTGAAACGGACATTTAAAATTTTCGACGCAAAATGCCAAAACGAAATTAATAACCCTTCTGGGCTAACACCCTTTGGGCTTAAAAAAACTGTCCTCCTTCTCTGATCCGCAAAATCGTATAAGTTTGTCAACTGTGTATAATTCTGTAATTGTTACATAACAGTATTACCCCCGATAAAACAGTAGCAAGCTATAGCAAAAGACAGTGCCATGTCTCACTTTAGAAACATTTTAATATGTAGACAACAACAAATTACATTGAGCAAATTCTGAGTGAAACAAATTATTTCTGGATATTTCTGGATCGATCCATACTTAGATAACGCTGGTGACGTAGCTAAATCGAAACTTAACTGAAACTTTCTCTTAGTAAGCTGCTATATTGGATAACTGTGCACTTTTGCTTCTACCTTTGTTCTCGTTAAGTATTTTCTTCTAATGTAACTGTTCTGGAGCATGCACGATTAATGTGGCAGTATTTGTGGCTGCAAATGTTTATTGAAGTAAAGATGAATATTTAATCCGCCAAGTTTGCTCTTCATTATGGATCAACATCTCGGTATCTACGCACTGAAATTTCCTACAACATTACGTATTTACCCATCTGATGATTTTTTTAGGTTTCGATGGAATTTAGGTTATGAACTTGTACGCAGAGTACTGTTATAAAGCTTAAATAAACAATCATTTGTGGTTCAGGAATGAATGACTCCACTAATTCCAATGGAGAAAATTGTTTCGGTTTAAGAACGGCCTTTAGGAACGAATTAAGTTTGTGAACCGAGGTTTCACTGTATTGGGCTTTTAACAGAGATGATATATTCAAAGTGGGCTTAAACTCCTCTTCAAAAAATAACAAAGGGAAAACACGAAATAAAACAAACTATCTGATGGATACACGTGAAATTGAGTCAAGAGGCTGGTGTGGCATTACTATAGCACATAGCGAACAGTAAATCAAATATATAAAAAAAAAAAGCACGTGTATTGAGTTCATCACATCGCGAAAGACCAAAAGTGTGTGTGTGTGTGAGTATGGCAAAGCCTCGAGGGGCTATCTGCCTAAGAGGAGGGATGCCTTCGTGGAGGACTTTCTAAGGGAAACTGGCTCGTATACACGTTACACATGGGGAAAACCACGAAAACGCCCATGCAGCCAGCCCGTTCGCGGGATTCGAACCTCGGACCGAACTACCAGTGTTCAGCGACTTTACCGCTCGGCCGATGGTGGGCCCCGAAAGACCAAAAGAGTCGAAAGTATGTGCAATGGAAACATAACGCTAATAACGGATGTGATACACTCTAGCTGAAATGCATACTTGACAACGCCGAGGCAAGCTGGCAGTAGCGCCAATTCATGTAGTAATGCAAGTCGGAGCTCGTGAAGAGTGCCTGACGGCATACTGCGACCTGGCATTCGTTATCCCAACATGTCCCACACTTAAACTGCGGGATTCATGTCCGCTGGTCTAGCAGGCCACGGCAGATGTAAATTGTTTCTCTCTCCAAATAACTGCGCAACACTCGAGCTTTATGTGGGTGGGCGTTATCGTCCATAAATATCGCGTCGGTATCCATCGCAGCGATAAAAGTACGTGCAAGAGGGTGCAGAATTTCATCGCGATTCGGACGTCTGTAACGAAACCACCAGGAATCACGTAGACTGTGCGGCCGCCCGTTGATGTTGATATCACAGCCCATATAAGTAAGCCTCCTCCTCTGTAATGGTCTCTTTCGATGATATTTAACGTCCGATAGCGGCTCCCTGGCTCTCGTCATATACCCAGTCTTTTGCACCCCGTTAACGCTGTACGACGTGTTTTCGCGAGCTCGCTTTTCGCCTTATTATTTTAAGTTAGTTTTGATATACTTTACACAAGAGTTATATCAATTTAAAGTTCTTCAAAAGCTGAGCAATTTGATATACATCTGGAGCGATTCCGTTTATTAGTGGTGGATTAATTAAGTCTTTAAAGCAGAAGTCATTGTTCGTATCGCGATCTCGTGATATCTGCTGAGGGTTACCGTGTCTCCGTGAAGTGCCGTTTTGTGGTGTTTACATCTATTAAGATTTCTCTGGCACCTACAGGCATCCAATTTCAATCCTAGTACCATTGGAAAGTGGAAGATATGATCTCTTCATTGATACCAGTGCTGTGATTGTGAAGTGTTTGTGCGATTTATTACAGTGTTTTTATCGTGCGACATAAAAGTGCCATACTTCTGGATTAATCTGCCCTTATCTCCGGTCTAAGTGGGAATATCGACACCATTCTTAGACGATAAGGTAGGCTTTTAGATTACCTTTCTTTTAGTGTATCATTCGTCCTGCTAGCTTAATTAGTGACTGAGCGCCGTAAGATTTAATTGCAATTTTCCTGTGTGACCTTGTTCTTTCCCCGGTATCCTCACCCGGCTCGTTTTTACGACACAGTGGTGAAGGGTCGGTCCAGCAGGACAGGTCGCCTTTTGAACTTGTCGGACAACTCCAAGGTTCTTTAATATACTCCTTGTCAAGCTCTTCTAGCGCATGCGCGCAGAGTAGAGTGCAGTTGCTAGAAGTCTTGCACGTGCTTTTGTTTACAATTTGAACTTAGCTGCACGGTAATTAGCCAGCCTTTAGTACACCCAAATTTTTAACCCTGCTCTAGTTTTTCACTGTGCATTTAACTTTTATTCTATTCTATTTATTTTTTTATTACTTTATTCATTCATTATTATTAATTTTTATACTTATTTAATTTCATCTTCCTGTAAATTTTTGTTTGTGCTTATTTACTGATAGCCATCTATTGTAGAAGTTCGTTTGTTTACTGATAGCCATCTT